GGGTTCCATCCACGTTCTTTTCAGGGTTCTGGATTTTTCTTTTCACCCTGACAATGGAACATCTCCCTAATCATCAGAATGACTTTCCCTCCTTTGTTGTTGCTCTGGCAAAAGATTGATATTACAGGGATCTTTTAGTCTCCAAAAAATGTTACGATCACCAGTGTATTTTAACATTGGTTGCTATGATTTTGCCTCCTCTGAGTTATGTCCCTTACCTGTTTCGGGTTGGTTTCACACACGCTGGTTGCATTTTTTTCTCATGAAATAGCCTCTTCATTCTCTGCTCACCTATCTATTTCACCATCGGTTTCATACATGCCCAGTCAAGAACTCAAGTCTATTCAGTTGTGGGTGATAAGTTAGTCAAAGAAGGAAGAAGGAAGTAGACAGAGGTAGCAGGGGAAAGCAAGTAATGAGAAAATGTGGAAATGATAGTGAAGCAAGAAAAAGTTTGTAAGACAGAGATCAGCCCAGATAGCCCAGGGCTGTCAACACCTTCACAAGTCATGCTCAGTGGAGTAGAAGGGTCATTGTCTGAAAATCTGGGAATAATATGGGAGTAAGTAGGAAGAACCAGAATGTTGGAGATGTCATTGGATATCTGTTTCAGGGGTTGAAAGCCTATTGCCCATCTGCTTTATTTTGGCCTGAAAGGTGTTTAAAAAGGAGGAGAGAAGACGACAACTCTGAATGCTGCCACAAGAGGCGTGTACCCTTCAGTTCTGCCCTACCACTATTTCTTGTCCATTCCACCCACACAGTCTTGTTCCAGCCTGGCACTGCATCTGAGTTTTCAACCCTGAGTGATCCCGCTTTACAGATGAGGGGCCACTGAGGTGCAGGGTGGAGCATGGACCTGCCCCCGGTGGAGAGCAGCATTGAGGACAGAGGGGGGCCTGACCCATCAGGCCTCCCGACCAGCACTGCCCTCATTCCACTGCTCACACTGGGGTCAGGCCTGCAAAAGACCTGCTGGCCAGACAGAGGGATGAGGAGGTGGTCTCAGCGGTTAGCTTGGAGGATGAAATCTACATGCACAAAACCCAAACCCCCAGCCCTCGGCACAGACCTTGCCCCCGGGGCATGACACGCCTCTCCTTTGCTCTGAGTCCAGGTGCTCCTAGCTGAAACACGGGCCAGAGGAGCACTCAGGGCCAAGGGCAGGATGTGTGCCCTGGACCATCTGCTACAGTGCAAGGTGAGAGAGACCTTACAGTGGCACGTCACCATGGTTAACAAGACTTGTCTCCGGCCAATGCCATTCAGTGTCCTCTGTCCCCTGAGATTCCCTAGCAGCTGAGGGCATGTAGCATCCTATAAACAACTGACTCACCTTTGTAAAACCCCATGTGTTCAGAGCTCTGTTCTAGGTGCTGGATGAAGGGAGGATCAGAGGCATACAATTCAGTCAGGCAGAAAACATGACAAGTATTGGGTAGTGAAGCATCAAAGAACAGTGTGTCCAGTAAGAGTAGTAATTGCTGAGGAAGGACTGCGAGATCTGGGGATGTGTGGTCCTTAAAGATGAGACTCAGTGGGAGGTAGGTCACTCCTCATTATTCTCCCCCCACTTCCCAGGACCCTGATTGAGCACAGGACCTGGGAGCCGGAGCTTTTCTCAGAGTAGCTCGCAGAAGAGGAACCGGAGGGCAGACTCCACCTGCCCTTCTGGATGTGCTGAAAGTCAAGCCAGGGAGTTTGTTTCATCACATGATCCAAGGGGAGAGGGAAGGGCCAGAGGGGAGAGACTGACCTAAGAGGTCAGAGGAAGGGAGACACTAGAATGTGGTGGGAAGTGAGGCCAGAGAAGAAACAATGAGAACAGGTCCAGGACAGGGCCAGGCAAGAGGCCCGAGTGCCTGGGGCCTGTTTTATTGATTGTCGGCTGCATTGTGCGTACATGAGTCAGACTGGGTGAAAGGCATGGAGCTCAGCAGAGGGAAAAGGGAGTCCACTTAGTCTGCTGGCTCTCCTAGGCTAGGCTGGTAACACCAGTAAGCAGAAAGCTAAGCCCACTGAATGCCAGCACAAGGAACTATCCTCCTCGGTACAGCTGGGAAAAGACGGTGCAGCCTGCCCGGGGGCAGAGCCTGGTCAGCCACTGATGTGAGTCAGTGACATGAGTCAGTGGCTGCCAGAAAAGGGCATGTGCGTCCTGGCCGTGTTAACAGGTGTAAACTTCCACAGTGAAGGAGAGCTGGTGGTCTTCTGTTCTGTGCTGCTCGGACCAAACCAGGTGTGTATAGTCAGGCCCGGGCACCGACATAAGTGGGGGTCACATTCCAAGGACTCATACCTACTATATGAGGCAGGGTTTGGAATACTTGTCTGCCATACATGGTTGAGGAAATTAGAGAAGATCCAGGGAAGGGTGATAGTGGTAAAGAGGAGGAGGACATAGGAGTACCCACTGACATTTCTATCCCATCTCATCATCCCATCCCAAACATGACCTACTAGGCTGATTCCACAACCTGTGAATGGATAGTGACTTGGCTCTTAGTAATGCACTGCCTTGAGAGTGTGGAAATTTAAGTAGAGACCATAAGCCTCTGCTTGCCTGGGAGAATGTGGTACACACGTGCTAAGTCACTTCAGGTGTGTCCAACTGGGCGACCCTATGGACTGTAGCCCTCCAGGCTCCTCTGTCCATGGGATTCTCCTGGCAAGAATACTGGAGTGGGTTGCCATGCCCTCCTCCAGGGGATCTGCCCAACCCAGGGATTGAACCCACGTCTCTCATGTCTCCTGCATTGGCAGGTGGGTTCTTTACCGCTAGTGCCACCTGGGAAGCCTGGCAGGATGTGGTAGAATAATTCAATTATATGAGAGATTGCATCAACAGGACTTCAAAGCCCTCCCCACTGAGATTCTAAGGTTATAAAATTCTCTGTTGCTTTATGATGGAAAGGAGCAGGTAACTTTTAACACACAAAGTGACGAGGACCTGAACTGGGTTGGTGGAAGTGGGAAGAGGAAGGACTAGGAAGGATTCTATCAGGTGAGGTGCCTGACGTTTCACGCCTGCAGAACTGTGACCACCACGACAATATGGACAGACAGAGGAAGTCTTCAGGATTAGGGAGTCTGGGAAGATATCGATTTCGGTCCTATTTTGACATTCTTACTTAAAAATTATTTTCTAAATGAAGGTTGAGTTTAAGATGATGGGGTCAGGGCAGATTTGGGAGATTTGGAAGTCCAAAGTATTCAAAAGAGAATAGCCCCACATACATAATGCTAAAATAGAAATATCACTAAACAATAAAGTAAGTATAAGAGAATCCAACAAAGCTCAGTTTTTCTCAAGAGGAAAGACTGAATGATGAAGTATCACTTGAAATTCTTTGTTTGTCTTACTATGTCTTTCTATTTTGTTGGTACTCTGATAATATATTTAATCTGTCTTCTGGGTAAACTTTACATCCAAGGGAGAAAGACCTCTGAAGGGTTAGAAATATAGCTCAAGTTTGGAGAAAAAAATAAGAAACGAAGATACAGGTTGGGGGATCCTGGGCAAGGAAATTTAACAGAAACCCTGGAAATGGACAAACCTCAGAGTGAGGATAGTGCAGAGAAAGGGAAAAGAGAAGAGGGCTGAGTTATGAAACTTGGAGAATGTCCACATTTTTGAGGCTGGGAGAAGGGAGGAGGGGTCATTAAAGGAGACGGGAGGGGGCAGAAACTAGAAAAGCAAAGCAGTCAAGGTGGTTTTCCATCCACGAATGCAAGGAGGAATAAATTCATGGAGGAGGTGGTTAACTCTGACAAATGCTTTTCAAGGGCAAGAAAAATAAGAGCTGAAAAAGGACTCTGCTGGTCTTTGAGCCCATTTCTTCGAAGTCTGAGGAGGGGCCACAGGCAGCTGCCCTTGCTTAGGAAACGAGTGGGCAGAGAGGTGATGAGGGGCAGCAAGGGGACCACAGTCACAGTTCACAGAGCAAATAAGCTAAAGTTGGCCATAAATCACATGTCCAACCTGAAAGTCTAATGGAAATCCACAGAGCGCAGTTGAGCGCCTGACCTGGCTGGGCAGAATGCACTTGCCCTTGACTGAAGTTGGGGGAGGAGCAGGCAGGAAGTTGAGAAAGAAGCTCCCCGGTGCTTGCATCTGTCTCAGCCCCTCCTCCCCGCTGGGTCCTGCCTGTTGCCTCTATGTTTAGACTCAGCTAGGATTAAAATATGTGCTGCCTGGCCCCTGTCCGCTCACACTGAGATGCTGGTGGACTTTTATATAGCTCCATGGCACACTGCAGGGAGCAGATGGGACCTGAGGAGTGCAGGATTCCACAGTGCCTGGCGCCTTGAAGCTGGGCTGGCCAACAGATGGATCTTTTGGAATGGGCTCTGGGGTTGCCTGGCAACCGCTTCTCCCAGGCGGGGCTTCTACAGTTCCAGGAGGCTGGATTTGCTCTCCTCTGCTCACCAACGGCTCAGTTAGGCTAGTCCAGGAGCAGGAGCAGAGCCCACCTCAGGAGTGGCCTGAGATTCTGGCTGAGGCAGCAGCCTTTCGGGGCTCCTTGCCTGGTCTGGGACCTTGAGGCTGGTGGTGACAGGGCTCTACCTGACCCAGAGCCTAAGACTCCAACCTGGTACGTAGTAGATATTTGTGAGAAAGAAAGAGAGCACAGGATGGCTCCCTGGACTGGGTTGTTATTACTTTCACTATTAAATAGAAGGAGAATTGGCAGATTGGAGAGGGTTTCCCATGGCTGATGTTCAGTATGGCCATATGGTTGTTAAAATATTGAAATACCTGCCCCCCCATGTGGTTTATAGCCACCACTCTGAGTCCCCAAATGCCTCTACTACCCAGGTTGCCTGGCCCTACCCCTAGAATGCGCTGGACAAGCTCAGGATCTAGCAATTTAAGCATTTACATGTGGTACAGAAGGGCCTTTAGGCTTCTGCCTCACCCCTTCAGCCCGCATCTGACCATCTGGACTGGAGGCATCCACGCTGCACTGATTGTTACATCATTTGACCATCATCTTTGCCCCAAGCCCTGGACCTAGCAACTTGGCCCTCCTACGATCACTGCCTCTACTTCTGCATCCCTTCAACCCACCCTCCTGGTGAGGCTAACGGTACCCAAGGCTGAGCCTGGGTTCGAGACTTGTGATGGTATCCAAGGCTGAGCCTGGGTCCGAGACTGGTGTGGGGGAGGCAGCAGACAGGAGGCAGGGTGCCCACTGCCTCTAGACCCCTGGCAGACACATGGGGGAGCTGTAGGTCCTCTCCTGTTCAGTCGAGAGGGTGGGAGAGGGTGACGCAGTCAGACCCGGCCTCCCAGACTGGCTCAGGCTGTCCCCCTTTCATTGCTGTCAAGGGCTCTCTGGCCTCAACCTTATATGGTTAAAAAGCCCTAAGACAGGGGCTTGAAGAGGGAGCTGAAGGCAAAGGGCATGTGTACCTACACCACTCCTACTCCTGAAATCAGGTCTAACAACCACTTACAGTATCTTCCTCCTTCAAATGAGCCCAGGCCAGCCTCACTCCAACTATCGCAAAGCCGGTCCTGCCTGTCCCTTCCCCAGGTGGCTCTAGGGCTTTCCTCTTTGACCTATTTCCTGCCAGACACTCCCGATCCAGACTCCGTGACCACTAACTGCAACTTCTGAGCTCAGCTGGCTTCACACTAGGCCACCAACCTGCCGGTGGACCTTCCCACTGGCCCCACGTGTCTCTGCTGAAATGCTCGGTCTGGCCACCTCTGGCTTCTTAACTCCCCTCCTGAAAAATCCATACATGTCCTGCTCCTCTCCTGTTGCTGGGCTCAGGCCTCCTCTCCCACCTGCTTCTCCCAAAGACAGAGGTGCTTCTGCACCCTCTTCTCCCCTCTCCACTCTCCTCCACTCCCCTCCATCCTCTGAATCCATCTGCTCCCAGGCAAGGGGCAAGATGGGTGACAGAGAAATGCTGGTGCGAGGGGTGTGGGGGGCTGGGGTGGGGGTACAAAGGGAGATGGGCAGGGCCTGAGCTCTGGGTTTCCAGAGAGCAGCATTACCTGAGCAGGGCAGGAGAGGGGTATGTCTGCCGTCAGATCTAGGGTATCTGTTTTCCTTCCCAGTGGTTCAAGCTGATGAGGGAAGAAAAGAGAGCCGTGAGTGTACTAATTTGTCTCTGCTGAAGTGAACATTCCCTGGCAGGGCATCCTGCAGTGGGGGAACACTCAGAATTTGATTTCAGGGGGGTTGGCTTCTCCTCCTGGCTCTGCCAGTCACCAGCTGTGGGATACTGGGCAAGTCTCTTAGCTTCTGCAAGATTCAGCTTCCTTGTAAACTTATAAGTCTTGCAGGGCTGCTGAGAAGCTTAAATGAGATAAACATGGCTTAAACTGCCTAGCAGAGTTGTTGGCACATAGAAAATACTGAATAAACATGAGGGTTCTGCCTTATATTCATGTAGAGTCCTGCATCACAGTCCAAAGCCCGTCAGAGAGGATGCAGTTGATCCAGGAATCTTAAGGACTCTGTATTTTTCGTTTTACATTGGTTTCTACAGAGGCACCAGTCGCTTTCCTCCACACCTTCCTTGCAAAGGGAGGCCAAGAACAAGCTCCATTCTGGAGTGCCTGGTACTTTGCTCTAGACTAGAACCCCAGAGAACCAGGAAACCCCACTCATCTTACCATGTTGACCCAAAGGGCCCTGGAGAGCTGGGAGTGGAATTTCTGACTTGGATGGAGGCAGTCTGGGGCAAAGAAGGACACATCTGGGCGCCCATCCTGAAGGAGAGAAATAGACATCCTTAAGATCCTGTTGGTGCCGAGGGTGGAGAGTGGGCCTCACTGGCAGGCCTGCCCTCTGGAGTGGACCTCTCAACACCCTGCTCCTCTGGGGGGCTCTCCCAGCCTGCAGCTTCCTAAGAGAGCTCAGAGTGGTCCCACACATCAACAACCTTGAGTAACCCCAAACCCCCAACCTGCTTTCTGGATCTCACAATTCCCATTATTTAATTTAAAAACTGCGATATATATTTTCAGGTGCATTTATGCAACCCATGCCATGGATGAGGGAATGAGATACTAGTCCCTGAGGAAGTCTTAGCCAGCCAGCTGGGAACAGCTGTTTCCCAATTCTTGACCAGTTGGTCCCAGTGAGCTTGGTAGGGAGAATAGGGCTTCAGGCCTGGGCAAAGTCTAGGTGCTTAAAGCTTCTTCCAGTAGAACAGGCCCTTGGGATGGAGGTCAGGGTAGACAGACCCAAGTCCCCACCCTGGCCCATTCACAGAGCCCTTCTGCTCAGAACGGAAGTCAGGTGGAGAGCAGAGCCAGGGAGAGAAACAACCACCACAGTGTTGGGTTTGGGGCCAAATGTGAACAGTCTGGAGCTGGACGTGTTCAAATCTCACCTCTGTCCCTTATTTCCTGCATGCTTTTAGGAAGGAGTCTTCATGTCTCTGAGCCTCTCTTATGCGGGGATGATAAAGCTCACCTCAAAAGGTAATTGTGAAGATTTTACATATGGTATGCACAGTGCCTGACATGTAGTAGCTACTCAGTAAAATGGAGGCTGCAATGAGCAGTCATGAGAACATCAAACATTGGGCTGCCTCTTGAATACAGCTCTGATGTTCAAGGAGGCTCCAGCCACCAGATCAGCAGCTAGAGAGCTGCCTGGATCCGCCCCATTTGTTCCCAGTCTATGGGAGCACTTGGAATTTCCACTTTGAATTTCCTCCCCTTTGTGGGAGCCCTGTCAGGGAGGGCAGGGAGCCTACCGCCAGGACAGGGAGCCGGATGTTGTAGAAGAAGGGCTGCAGAACCACAGAGAAGTCCTCCCGTGTGTCATACCGACCGGACTCCACCAGCTCGCGCATGCTGCTCTGTGGACACATGCATGGGCATCTTCAGCACAGGTCCAGGTGCTCCAGGTACCCATTAGGGCAAGGCTGGGGATGATGGGCAGTGACCTTGTCCCCATCTCCCTCAACAGGTGGGCTAACTCAGTTCTTCTCTTAAGAACACACACACACTTGATGACAAATCTCTTTCCAGAGAATTAGAAATGGGTTGTGCCTCCTTTTGGTTCTGGTTTTAAGTGGACCGCAAGTTCTGAAAGGCCAGCCAGAAGTCCCGAAAGGAGCAGAAACCTAGGAGAGACCTCCAGAGGGCCCCTAGGCTTGGGACCTGCAACACCCCCATTGGCTTGTGGCCTGCCTATTGGAGAGGTGGGGGGTTGGGGGGCAGCTGGGCATCTGGGGGGCAAGGGAGGGAATGGCAGTTCCATGGGGCACCCAGGGCTAGTCCCTTTGTCAGGCCAAGGGTTGGGGCTGAGCCAGCAAGACAGCTCAGCCATGAGGACTTTGTCACTTAGGTTCTTTTGTGAACCTGCCTGGAGTGCCTGAGATACCTCAGCCAGGAAGTGGCCTGGATGGTGATGTTGCCTCTCAAACTCTGAATAGCTCTTCCCTTCCCATGAGCCTCCCCAGGGGGGCTCTGGGCTGGCGTGCTGATTGAGGCGGAGGAGAGACCTTCTTGGTCTTACCTGGTAGGCTCGGGTGATGGACTCCAACTTGGCCAGCTCTTGGGAGCTCTCCCGCGGGGTCAGAACACAATTGCACAAAATGCTGCAAAAAGAGGGGAGACAGAAAGACCCAGAGCCAAAGCTGCTGTCAGGGTGGAGGTGGGGGAATGGCTCACTGGAGGCTCTGCTACACATGCTCAGGGGCAGGTTTCAGGCCTGACCCAGTGATGCACAAGGGGAGGATGTATGGATGGCACCCTCTCACATTAACACAGTACTAAGTGTTGGACCACAGGCCCTGGGCCTTCAACAAAATACACTGAACAAATGCATTTAGGCAATGAGAAACCCATGTTTAGTGTTTAAAAATAAGTACAAATGCACGCTTTGGTGAGCCTCTGTTGCTCAGGTCCCCAGACACCTCTGGAGTTCATACTAGTGCCCTGCTGTGCTCCCTTTTGTTTTGTGATGAGTTATTACACACTCACAAAATCTACTGGATGTTAAAAAAGATCTCTCTACTCAAAACAGAACCTGGTGCACAGTAAGACTTTAAAAGCATTTATTAAGTGAATAAATGGATGTGTAAGGCAAGAGGAACAATAAAACACACACCTGTGTACTTCTCACCCCACTTAAGAAACAAAACACTCCCAACTGGAAGTTCTGTGTGTCCCTCCCCAGGTCACTTCTTCCCCACAAAGGTAAGTGAGCTTTGTTTTTGTTATGGTTTCACCATGTGTGGACACACCTGTATGTCACTCCTTCTCACAGGCTGGGCTGCCCTGTCTCTCAAACACTAGTGTGTGTCCCAGTCCTGACCTCTGCCCAGCAACTTCCCCCATCACAGAGGTTCACTGGCACCCTGAGGTTAGGGAAGTGGGGGCCCTGACTTCGACCTCCCAGAAGGAGGTGATCCTGGCACAGACCCCTTTATAGATGCACACGCGGACAGATAAAGTCCCAGAGACCCTGAGGAGTCCCCACCATGTGAACCAGATCAGCAAGTACCCGCCTACCTGGCCTGATGCACAGGACACTTGTCGGGGTTCCCCAAGAACACCTGCCGCATGACACTGGGGCTCATGAAGTCTACAAGGTTGACCAGCGCCCGGGGTACCTATGTGCGAGGCTCTGGGTGAGAGAGGACCTGGGAAGCTTCTTTTACCAGGTGCCTTAGCACCTTGAGAAGTGGGACTGGGCTCTGGGGTCCCTGAGTGGAGTTCGGGGAGGTGTCAGCAAAAGGTGAGCACCTAGAGTCCTGCAGTCTGTGCCACCCACATGGGCAGCAGTGTGAATGGGCCTCCCAGAGTGGGCCAACATGGCAGTCTTGGGTCTAAATGCTGAGGGTTCAGCTCATAATGAATCTGCCTTCAATGCAGGAGACCTGGGTTTAACTCCTGGGTTGGGAAGATCCCCTGGAGAAGGAAATGGCAACCCACTCTAGCATTCTTACCTGGGAAATCCCATGGACAGAGGAGCCTGGCAGGCTACAGTCCATGGATCGCAAAACAATCAGATATGACTTAGCTCTGTTCAGCTATCAGTTAGCTTTCAATTTGGTGAGGTAGCCCCATTTGCTAGGACATAAGCCCTTAATGGGTTCCCTCCAGCCTGGCCTGGACTAACTCTGCTGAGCAGGCTCAGGGTTGTGGCAAAACCAGAGAAGCATCTGGCTGTCTGAGCGCCCCTCCCAGGCAGCCAGAAAATCTTGTCCATGCCAGGGGGTAGGGAGAGAACACGTTGGGTGCAGGACCAGAAGGGGGCCTGCTGTAGACACTCCTGCCACTCAGGGTGCAGTGCCCAGCCTGGGAGCCACCCAGCTGCCACCACCAGAGAATGTTGCCAGTACTGGTAAAGGGATGCTTGGTGCACACAATGCTTTCCCCTTCAAGCCTGAGACCCTTGGAGCTGGTCCCAAATAGCATGAGGCTTCCTTGGGAGTACCCCCAAACTATGGAAAGGGCAGGAGCCCATGTCCTTGTCCAGCTCCTTGGGAAGGGGTGTTTTACCCTCTTCTCCCCACCAGGCTTGAGCAGTATCCCGTTTGTGGGAGCCCCCACTCACCTCTCTATGTAGGATGTCCAAGGCATTGCGGAGATGGTAAAAAAAGTTGGCTGCAGAATAAAAATTCTGGAAGAGACAGGAGAGAGAAGAGATGCTGGTTAGGGAGAGAAGGCAGTGGGCAGAACTGGGTTCTCCCCCAGGCCCTCAAGGGCTCGTTCTCCCTTGGCCTCCAACTGTGACCAGCTCACGATGTCAGAATCTGAGATTAACAGCTGGGGACTCACTGGTCCAGACAGAAGACTGCAACCTTCAGTTGGAGCTTTACCTCAGGAGTAGGATGTGTCAAGCCCCACTTCTAACTGCTTGGGGTTTACGGTTTCTTCTCTTTCTTTCAGGAATTGTAAGAGAGGGGAACAGAAGCCCTGTATATCTGCCACCTGCTGACTCTCACTACCTGGGACAGGGAGGTGGGGCCAGAAATTTGAGGGGCTAGGGAAAGAAGTGTGTGTGTGTACATGTGCACGTGTATGAATTGTGTGTGCATTTACACACACACACAGGTATCCTTGGACAATCCTGAGGTTAATTCTAGGGATTGTTCTCAAAGAGGATCTCCAGGGCCCACAGGTCAAAGTCAAGAGCAATGAGTAGGTCTGACCAGCCCCCATTACCGAGTCTGTGCAGTAGTCACATAAATCACTGCCTCCAATCAACACTGTGATGACCTTCCAGTCCTCATGGAAATTTACTCTCTGTACAGAGGGAGGAAAATGCTTGATGATTTCCAATAAACCAAAAAACAACACAGCTCTAGGAAATCCATTCAAACCTCTAAAACTTCCTTGCCCTTTTGAAATAACAGGATCAGAACCTCAGAGCTGACAGCACTTCAGAGATTTATTTATAGACCACGGATTCTTAGCATCAGGAAGGACTTTCAGGGTCACTGTGATCAGCGACAAACCTCCCTCTGGTTGACGTAATCTCCTCCAGGCGGCCTTCGACAGGGGCTGCCCTCTGCCACTTGAATGCCTCTAGGGACCGGGGTCTCACTGTTTTCATGGCCAACAATTCCATTTGGGGATTTTACTGGGCTAGCAAGCTAGTATTTCAAGATAATCATAAATCTGACTTACATGGTCGGATTTCATCTTCTGTATCAGAGTCTGGACTTGGCTTACAAGTTCCCTGAGGAGGAGAGGAAATCAGTCCCATTGAGGAAGAGCCCCTGAATCTTTCATCCCTAAATGGCCTGAACTGGAGGCTTCCATGGCATTCACCCCACCCCTGACCCCCCACCCTCCAACATGAGCTGGCAGAGACCCTGAGGCTCAGGGACAAGAAGCTACTTGCCTCTTCTAGAGAAGTTATTACAACAAATAACCCTTCACAAAACTAGCTGTGTGTTTGTCCTAAGCCTCTATAGTCAAGGATACTGCCAATTATATTTGTTACGCATGGTCTCCTTTCTAGGACTCCATGTGCAAAGTGTCTTTAACAATTCCGTGCAGGAAACTGTTCATCTCCTTTAAAGGACTGGTATAGACTCTGAAATTAGATCTAGGAAAGTTTTAGCATGCTTCCTCTTTTACCTTGGCTGGCAGGAAGCTGAGCATTTGATGCTCAAGCACAATAGTTAAAAGTCTCATATTGACACAGCTGCTTCTTCCCCTCCTTCCCCAACCAGTGGCTGCGATTTTTCTTAGGTATATGTTGTGTCATTTTTGGTAATGACACGACTTAGCTAAATGCTTCTCTTAGAAAGAGGTCATAGCAACCCACTCCAATATTCTTGCCTGAAGAACCCCATGGACGGGGAGCCTGGCGGGCTACAGTCCATAGCGTCGCAAAGAGTCAGAGGACACGACTGAAGTGACTGAGCACACATGCATAGAAAGAGGTGGGGCATTAAACATACACACTACACATACCTGGGTTTATAATTCATGGAAAGACTATCCCTCAGGCACCCTCAGCTCCTCACTAGTTTGGCCCCTGTTTTAGTGTGAGATGGAGCCAGAGACCAGAGGTGGTCTGGCACCTGGAGGTGGGTCCATGTGTACCACCATCTTGGCTGTTTCTATTACCAAGAAGGGTCTTCCCAGGCTGGGCCAGGAGTGAGGAGACCCAGGTGGCTGAAACCTCTAGGAGTGGGGTGTGGGAGGAGGGGTCTCCTTGGAGGTCAACCTGCGGGGCTGAGTGGTTGGCTCCAGCTGCCTGTAGCTTCTCAACTGCGTTTCCTGCAGCCCCACAATGGGCATAAGGACAGGACGTGACTCGCCACTCCTCTAAGCAGCTGCTCTAAGCAGCCTCTAACGTGGAGACTCAGTATTGCCCATCCATTTGGTTGATACTCCCTGATCTATGGGGGGAACTGCCACTCATGAGGCACTGGAGAGAATGCCATTATGCCATGGTAAGTTTTAAAAACTGTATATGGTGGGTCAGGTAGTTGGAAGATTAGGATATGCTGCACAGGAAAGCAAGACCAAGTTCAGTCTCTAGGATCATCCTCTCTGTCCAAGATCCAGCCTTCCAGCCTCCCTGCAGTCACAGAGGCAGCCAGGAAAGAGAATGGCCAAGAGATTCTCAAAGCATTGCTGTAAATAAAGGTCCCCTGTGTACACAGAGGTCAGAATTATAGCCTTTTATTAAAGGGAATGATGTGCCTCCCACTCCCTACCCAACAGCTCCCTCCCCCCCAAAATGCATACTCAGCCTTAGCTCCAGGAACAGCTTGATTGAGGAATGCATTTGTCTCATTGGCATCTCCTGTGCCCACCGCATAGCCTGTGAGATTTCCATTGAACTTCCGAAGGATATCTGGAAGAGAAGGGGGGTGCACAGGACATAGAGAGCTTAGGATGGGAGGTGGAGTATGCCCCAGCAAGGAGCTGAGGCCTCAGACTTGATGACAGGCTGAGCCAAGGCGGCAAGAGCCTCTCAGCTTTTTTTTTCTTTCTTTATACTTGCAGCCATGGCTCATCTATCTCCATACCCTTTGGGCTGGGTGAAGAGATCTGAGGCTCAGGGTGTTTGGTAACTTGGGCCAGGTCACCTGGCTAGCGTACAGAAGGGCCAGGGCTTGAACCTAGTTTTTTCCATCCCCTTCAATGGCCTGTTCACAGGTCCCTAAGGAAGATGTCATTTCTCCCTTTCTTAGCTGAGAGGCACTTTCAGGAAGCCTGGGCATCAGATGGACCCAGTGGACAGACTAAAGACACTGGTGGTTACTTACTCGGTAAGGTGGTCACGTTCTCCAGGGAGCTGTCCCCTCCTGAGCTGTAGAAAGTGAGCAAGTCAGTGAGGGAGACTGAATCAATGTACAGGCTTTATAGAAAAGGGCCCCCATCTTTTAAAGACACCCACACCATCAGCATCTGTCAGATGCCCCAGAGCCACCTCTTTGTGTTTGAAGGATTCTGAAAAAATGTGAATTGCCCAAGAGGCTGGATCCTCCAAATCCAGGATTTGAAGGTGAAATCTGAGGGCTGTTTTTTCCTTCTGCAAGTCAGGAGGGTGCATACTTAGCTGATTCTATACCATGTACCCAGCCATGCTCTACATTAGTTATCTCATATCTCCAAACAAGCTTGGGATGTAGATGAATTATCTCCATTTTACAGAGTAGGAAGCTGAGGCACACAGGGGTTAATCAACTTTCTATGGAAACTTAAAACCAAAAGGTAACTAAAAACCAGCTTGAACTGGAAACCTTTAGAAAATGGATAAACTCTTCTCTGCCCAGTGGTCAGGTAAATTCCACTGGAAGGTTCAGGGGATGGCCGCTCACTGCCTTTCAACACCCAATCTAATTTCATATAATCTAGTTTTATGGCCCTCAATCTAACTTCCAGACACGGTCGAAGTTTCAGTTTCTTTCATGCATTTAAACTGAACACATGTGGGAGGCAAGGGGAGAAGTATTTATGTTTTAATGAAGTCCACTGTTCAGATGTACTATATTTACTGTTATTTTTCTTCTGTGACTCCCTCCTCCATCCCCGTATATTATTCCAGGCCAAGAGGTTTCAGAGAATACAGTGTTAGCATTCAGCCCACCAGTGTAGACTTCCGAAGGACAGGCCATGAATCAAAGTTATGGCTATTCTTCATTCAAGAGAAGGCTTGGAATGAAATTGATTATTTTACACTAGGGTGGGGTCAAGGGCTTAAGTCAAAGGGTCAAGATCCTCAAAAGGTGGAGAGAAAAAGCAGCCAGGTAAACTCTACCCTTCTGTTCTCACTCAGGTATCTCTCTCGCACCTCCCATCCAGTGTCTGAACTGAACATGGCCTTTGGTTGGACACTGCTTTTAAAGCTTCTGATCCTTTCCCAACTCTGCATGAAGCTACTACTTTAGCTGCTTCCTGAGCCTTCCTTCTTTGGACCAAAAGTACTTCATCATAACACTTTTCACTTGGCAGGAAATGACAAAGACTTATATCTCCTCCCATCACTGTCTTTTAACCCTGCCTCCTTTCCTCCTCTAGAAACATATAAAAGCTAAAAAATTATAAACACAGAAACATATATGAATGTATACACATCAAGTATGTTCTATTGCAATTTCTAATCTAAAACTATCTTTGTTCTACAAGTGTGGTAGCTGATTAAGACAATAGGCTACAGAAACCTCTCAGAGCCCCTTTCCAGGAGAAAAGAGAGAATTATACAAATAAATACGGAGAAACAAAAATATGAAAACCCTCGTTTTGATCAGAACTATGGGAAACATGAAAGAAAACAGACCCACATGAAACAGCTAGTTTAGATAAGACCCTTCAGATGAATGGAGTTCATATTACACCATAAGCTCAAAGGATGGGCTTTGTTCCAGAGTCACTCACAGTATGCAGAGAAATGCAAAACTGATGCTTGATAACATTTATCAAAGGAGTTTCAATAACATGAGACTGAACTCCTAATTAATAAGACAAAGAAATGCTTTTTTTGATAAATAAATTTTATTTTGGTCCTTTGAATGAGCAATCAAGCCAACATTTCAAATGAAGGAAAGGCAATTCTCTAAAGACCTCCAGATTTGGCACACTAGTAAGCTAGCCAGAGCTGGGGCCTTTCACTGCTATGTGATTCTTACAGGCCAAGGGGCCTTGGAAATGTTCACAGCCTAACCTCTTCCTGCAAGGCCTGCTATAGCTACCCATCTACCAAGAACTCTTCTCCCTAGTCTGACTCCGTGAGGTCCACTCCCTCCACTTTGTTTCCTTGGAGAAAGAGGCTCAAATTGCATTCTTAGTTTACCTAGAATCATTAATTTCCTATTCAGAAGCTTTAATGGCTTCAGAAAATTGCTTTTTCTCAGCTTGGTCTACTACATGAACATTTCCCAAGAGATGCTAACAGGTACTCTGAACAAACAAAGTGTTCTGGGATTAAGGGAAATATTGGATTAAACAGACAGAATTTAAATAGATTTCTTCATTTTCGGGTTTCTCAGAGCCTTTAATATGCTTATAGGCATGTGAATTTTCCAGAGGAAGTATATAGTAGGAAAAATTTCCCCCAAAACACAAAGATTGGGGCTAGTGTTCTATGGAACACACTTTGGGAAACATTACACATTTTATGAAGAGTCAAACTATCTCTTAGACTCTGACCAAGTACCTCTACTTTAACGCATGTGGGTTTTGGGGTAGGTCTT